TTTAATACATGTCCCTTGTAAGATAACTACAAATGAATTAACTTAATTGCAAGTCATTCAATTAAAATAAAGATTAATATTTGATACACTAACAGGATATACAAGCTATACACTATCAATCTACCACAAAATAACACCTTTTTAATAAATAAAATTAAACCTTTTCAAGTCCTTATAAATATTTCAATAATATATAACATTTAATTATTTTAAAATTTTAATAACTTTTTGTCCAAAAAAATTTTTAATAACTTTTTTCTCTTTCTCTAAAAAAAATCCAGACATGACAAATAGCTATACAAGAACAACAGTGATTGGAATTTTGATCACATGCCCATAAACCATTTTGATAGTCAATGCATCCTTCTCAGTTCTCACCTAAGTCATGAACCACTTACCACATGAAGTGGATTCAATTATCAAGGGGATGTGACATGTTAGAATTACAAGTATTTGGGTTTAGTTAAAAACAGATCATCAATAGAAATGGGAGCACCATAGAAAGCGGGGGGATAAAGAGGAAGAGAAAGCTAAGGTTTGAGGCATTGAAACCGCCTGCAATATTTGCTTTGCAAGATGCAACATAATCTCAAGAACTCTGTTGATAATGGCATGTGCAGTTACGTACTTGTAGTTCATGGGCATTTGTTCAAGACTCTAATAACTGTGCTGTTCTTGTATGACTATTTCTTAGATCTAAAATTTTCTAAGAATCAGTTAATCCATTTTTTTTGTCATTAAATTTCCTGTTGTTTGCAGATTTTTACCTTGACCGGAGGAGAAAGCACCTCTCTGGCAATGACATGGGTTCTCTCTTTGCTGTTGAAGCATCAAAGCGTGCTCAAGGCAGCGCAACAAGAACTAGACCTCCACGTTGGAATAGATAGGTGGGTTGAAGAATCAGATATCAAAAGCCTGATTGTTGCATTGTAGGGTATCATGTCCCAAAGGGTACGCGTTTGATCATCAACCTTTGGAAATTGCAACGAGATCCACGAGTTTGGGAAAATCCTGGCACGTTCCAACCAGAAAGATTTTTGACAACCCAAGCTGATTTTGATGTTAGGAGTCAAAATTTCGAGTACATTCCATTTAGCTCCGGTAGAAGATCATGCCCTGCAATCAACTTTGGCTTACAAGTTGTTCACTTGACACTCGCAAAGCTGCTCCAAGGATTTGATATTAGAAGACCGGACGGGTAGCCGGTGGATATGGGAGAAGGCCTGGGCCTTGCGTTACCCAGGAGGAACCCTCTTGATGTTGTCCTCACGCCACGCCTTGCTCACGAGTTTTACAAGTGCCTTTAGACATGTATTAGATTGTAGATAATAATGGGCAAAATAAGGCCCCGGCTTTGTGGTATCCACCCCTTTCAAGGTTTTGGGTATCTTGCAGGGCTATATCCAATCTTATGCCTTGGCTTCCAAAGGGTTATCACCCTTTGCCACTTGTTTAAGGGAAAAAAGCAATATTAATCTAGACCTAGTTGAACCCCGTGCGTTGCGCCAGGGTGAATTGCATTTTTCTTAATTGGAATTAATAATGTTTTTAGTAGATTATTTGATTGATGAAATTATTAGATTAAAGAAGTTAAAATTGAGAACATAAAGCAAAATTTACACATTGACAAATGAGAGAAAGTTCTCACTTAAGGTTTTGATATCATGCTTTTACAACACGTTTGGTTCTTGAAATAGAATAAGATTAATATTCTATGAGAATTAAATAAAATGATAATAGAATAAAATAATTATTACTTTATTTGATACAGTGAGTGGAGTAAATAGGACTTGTTATTATGACTTATCAAATTAGTTGATTGGTAAAAATAACTTTTGAATAATAAAGGAATAGTTGATAAAAAGATAAAAATATCTTTTATTATAATAACATTTATTTTCATAAAAACCAAAATTATCCTTATTATAATTTAAATACATATTTATCCCTAAAGACAAAATTATCCATAATTATAATTTTATCACATATTTATCCCAAATGCAAAAAATAATTATAATTTGCTCACATATTTTTACAAATGGATAAAATTATTCTAGATTATAATTTAATCACATTA